GTCTGTCTATATATTTAATCCTTCGTTCGTCTGCTTATCGAGTGAGGTTTCTTTCTATACGTGTAAGTCAATGCATGTTAATATAATACATGTATAATAAGTACCCCTTACACCCAGTTTGCACTTCGGGTTAAGAACCAGTCCTAGCCTGTATATCTGAGAAGGAGTGTTAATTATGTCTTGCTTTTAACTACAGTATGCACGATTTTACGAGATTACCCACCTGGAAGTACAAGTTGTGTAATTTATCGTAATTTACATTACTTTACTCCTTATCAACAATAGTTAATTTTTACATAGAGCATAAGCCTTGTTTCAAATCACATAACTGTGGCCTAAAATAGAAAGAAGTGGATGTGTATAGATCAAGTTACGTTTTTACAGTCTTTGTCCCTTGTTACTGTTTCAATTCTACTACGCCCAACCATATCGGAATTGAAGGTCCAATCAACTTTATCTTGACCCCATGTTGGCAGCAATGGTTTTGGGTTAACATATGCTCCAATGATCTTTTTGTTGCTTGATGAGCCTCTGCTGTAAATACATTCAAAGATTATAAATAGAACAATATTCAGGAATTGCACTGGGGGCGGGGTTATTCTCAAAGCCACTGGTGCAAGCCTACCTGAAGTGATTACAACACTAAGGGCTGGGTTATTCTTAAAGCCACTGGTGCAAGCCTACCTGAAGTGATTACAACACTGGGGGCAGGGTTATTCTTAAAGTCACTAGTGCAAGCCTACCTGAAGTGATTACAACACTGGGGCGGAGTTACTCTTAAAGTCACTGGTGCAAGCCTACCTAAAGTGATTACAACACTAAGGGCGGGGTTATTCTTAAAGCCACTGGTGCAAGCCTACCTGAAGTGATTACAACACTGGGGGCGGGGTTACTCTTAAAGTCACTGGTGCAAGCCTACCTAAAGTGATTACAACACTAAGGGCGGGGTTATTCTTAAAGCCACTGGTGCAAGCCTACCTAAAGTGATTACAACACTAAGGGCGGG